GTTAAAGTGAGCAGGTGGCACTGGCCACACTGAGTTCACACTGGAGGTCAGAGGAGAGTGTGCTATTTTGCCAAACCATTCCATTGGGCATTCCATGAATAACATTTGAAAAGTTCTATCAATAACCAATTCATTCACACTGGCACTTCAGAAACAATCACGGGTATAGATTTCTCATATTAGAGAAGAGTGTATACAGATTCACAATTTCATTTCCTTTTGTATCTAAACAACGGGCACAAATCTAATAAACATGGCTGATCCTAGACAAAGGTAGGAAATAAATCAGCTTCAAATCTCTTTTAGTGGAAGAGATAAATAATATATGAACAAATGGATCTGGCCAGATGCTGTGGCTCACGCCTGTAATCCCAGCACTTTGGGAGACCAGGGCACGTAAGGTCAGGAGTTTGAGACCAGCCTGGGCAACTTAGCATAAACCCCGTCTCTACAAAAAATACAAAAATTAGCCGGGCACCACCATACCCCACTATGGTCCCAGCTACTCATGCAGGAGGCTGAGGTGGGAGGATCACTTGAACACTGGAGGCAGAGGTTGCAGTGAGCCCAGACAGTGGCACTGCACTCCAGCCTGGGTGACAGGGTGAGACTCCATCTCAAACCAAAACAAAACAAAAAACAAACAGAACCTACGGAAATAAAAGAGGATTTAGAGGACTTAGAGATCATATATACCTTACTATTTACTAGATAGTGCCATCTAAGTGTTTTCTAAGAAACTCAAATTCAACATATCCTCTACTGTTTCTTCCCTGCCTCAAACCTGCATTTTTTTTCCAAAAAAAAAAAAAAAACCACCAACACACAATCAACATGGTCAAGCAAGCTAGTCCTGTGACCCTCCCCTGACCCTTTATCAGTTAACAACCACCCCACTCAAGTACCAAATTTGCCCACCCTCCCCGACAGGCCCCTCCTATCTAAAACCTGAGACACTGCCTACTTTAAGCCTTTGAGGTCTCACTGTGATTACTACAACAGAGCCTATGTGGTTTTCCAATACTCAGCTTCCCTCTCCCCTCTCTCAACCCCCACTCCACCACCCTGCCTTTGCATCTTCCAGAATTGCACCCATCACACTGGCCCCAGGGTGAGCTTTGTTCAGTATAAATCTGACAGTGGCACACCTCAACCTGCAACTCTTTGATAGCTCTCTATTACCTATAAAATGGTTCATAATCTTTAGTGCTGGCTCCTGTCGACCTATCTAGCATTCCTTTCCAAGACAGGGCTTGATTTCCCCACCTCACTGCAGCTTCATTCCATCATGCTAAACTCTTTCATACCCCTAAGTATTTATTTGCTGTTGTTGCCTCTCAGTATAATGGCTTCCCTCCTTTCTCCCATACAAAGAATGCCAGCTAAGTAACCTCATTTTCCCCTGCTGTGAAACAAAAATAGTAATACCTATTTCCAAAACTATGTTATGAGGACTAAATAATGCACACACGAGACTTGGCAATGCATCTATTATATCAATAAATCTTAGACCCATTTCCCATTGCGCTCATGTTTAACAATACTTGGCACATAGTCAAAGTGCAAAAGCCTCATACATTCATGAATGTATGCACAGATGAAAAAGAGAACAGTTAGGAACTAGTGTCCGGCCGGGCGTAGTGGCTCATGCCTGTAATCCCAGCACTTCGGGAGGCCGAGGCATACGGATCACTTGAGGTCAGGAGTTCGAGACTAGCCTGCCCAAAAGTGAAACTCTGCCTCTACTAAAAATACAAAAATTAGCCAGGCATGGTGGCACATGCCTGTAATCCCAGCTACTTGGGAGGCTAAGGCAGGAGAATCACTTGAACGCAGGAAGCAGAGGTTGCAGTGAGCTGAGATCATGCCACTGCGCTCCAGCCTGGACAACAAAGCGAGACTCCATCTCGGGGGAAAAAAAAAAAAACTAGCGTCCAAAGAAATGAAGCCAGGAGTATAATTACTTGCAATTAATCAATTGTTTACATATTATGTAAATTACTACACTGAAAGACTGGGTCTAAGAAGTACTTAAAGCAAAGGTCTTAGGAGCCCTAATTTTTAAAAAACAGATGCATTTGTGAAATTTTAGAATAGTATGAAGGATATATGAATAAAACGTATTTCAGGAATGAATCTATGCTGTAGAAGCATTGTTATATTTCTACCATTTTGAACTTCTAAGTCATTAAAAGAAGAAAGCCAGACTGCCTGCCTCTAACTAGCTTGATCACCTATGTAGGCTTTCTACGGAGAACTGGATATTAGATAAGGAAATTAGGTTTTGCTGAATACCAGTGAATTGCTCAGTGGCTTGCAAAGCAGCCAAGTAGTTTTGGATCTAGTTCTTTCTCAGCAGCCAAAATGAACTTAAGAGTTAAACAGATAAGGAACTGAGAGAGACCACCAGGAGCAGCACAGGCCATGGATAACAGGTAACCCTGATCTAACATCCCAAGAGTGAACATTAGCTCCAGAGAGACTTGACTTTAAAAATGAATGGCATGGAAAGATGCAATCAATATCTAGTCGGCTCCTCTGGAATGAGCTTCATCTCAAATTTATTTATTTACGTTTATCCTGCTTGCTTGGCACAGGGCTTTTTAAAATTATAATAATAATTTTAAACCAAACGAAAATATTTCTGCTCAAACCTTGTAACTTAAACATGTATCATAGAGATAATTCTGATGTTCATGAAGTTTCTAATGAACAATTACGTAGCCTAATTTTGCCTTCATGACATTCTTACTGCTCAGATGCCGCACCCAACTTTAATACTAAACTTTTTTTTTTTCTTTGAGACGTAGTCGTACTCTGTTGCCCAGGCTGGAGTGCAATGGCACGATCTCAGCTCACTGCAACCTCCGCCTCCCGGGTTCAAGTGATTCTCCTGCCTCAGCCTCCTCCCAAGTAGCTGGAATTACAGGTGTGCATCACCATGCCTGGCTAATTTTTGTATTTTTAGAAGAGATGGGGTTTCACCATGTTGGTCAGGCTGGTCTCGAACTCCTGACCTGGTGATCCGCGTGCCTCGGCCTCCCAAAGTGCTGGAATTATAGGCATGAGCCACCGTGCCTGGCCAATACTAAATATTTTAACAAAATGTTTTACTTTCATGATTTCCAAGAATAACTAGTAACAAAACTAGAGCAAAATATAACACTGTGTATCTTTTTTAAAACATTACTTGTAAGTTTTATGAGGAGTAAAAACTGTAGTTTTGATAGAAACAGTCTTGGTGTTATACTGTCATAGGGCTCAGGTACATAATCTTATATGCAAACCACCATTCTAGGTTTTGTATACACATGACCTTTATGATACTAATCATTCTTTGAAATTATTAAAATTAATGTCCACAACCGGAAAATATGTTCACTTACACTATTTGGGTAAACAGTCTACATGATGAAAAGGAATTGATGGACCCTCAGACATCACGGGGGAACTTACAAGAGATTCAAGAAACTGCCAAATGAGCAAAGATAGAGGGAATTATTATTCCGTGCTTGTTAAATCTTCATGTACATCACCACACCAGCATATTAAGATAGGAAAAATATTCCTCAGGAAAGGAAAATTAATTCCACATAAAAGTATCCTTTCTATGGAGAAGAACCTAAACCAAACTTTCCACTTTAAGTAATATGAGAACTGTTTTACTGTAACATTTAAGTGCAAAGAGGAGGTAAGAATGGGGTCACTGTATAAGTTTACTGAAGTAACCAACTCATCTTAATCCTCCCATTTTCACTTGGAAAGGACCAAGAAACCTTATTCAATTTTGGTAAGTCAATCTGATAAAAAGTGAACTATAAATAAGAGAGAACATTGTTTTAGCAGTTAAAACACTTGTTTAAAAAAAAACCATCTGGACTCTGACAAGCCAGTTAGATTGACAAGATCTGTGAAATCAATTTGGAGTTTTTAAGCCCTGATATCTTATTCACAAAAGACTGTATAACATGGTCAATATTTAAAGACCTTAAACTATCTTCTCTTTCCTACATTTTTGATAAACATTAATAACAGTAAAGAAGCCAGGCGCAGTGACTCAGGGCTGTAATCCCGCCGAGGCGGGAGGATCACTTGAGGCAAGGAGTTTGAGACCAGCCTGGCCAACATGGTGAAACTCCGTCTCTACTAAAAATACAAAAATTAGCCGGGCGTGGCGGGGCGCCTGTAATCCCAGCTACTTGGGAGGCTGAGACACGAGAATTGCTTGAACCCTGAAGGCAGAGGTTGTAGTAAGCGAGATCACTAAATCACTGGACTCCAGCCTGGGCGACAGAGTGAGAGTCCCTCTCAAAAAAAAAAAAAAAACAGTAAAGAAAGCCTGCAGTAGATTATCAATTTCTGAAACAGTCCCAAGTCCCAAGGCAAATTCAATTGAGAATTCGTTCCACGAGTTCATTGCTTAAGAAAAACAGCGCTTGTGTTTAATCTTTTGCATTAAAAAAAAAAAAAAAAAAAAAAATCAGAGCCCACAACCTACAGTTTATTTTAGTAAAACTGGGCTGAGCAACTGGAAAAAGCCAATGCTCCATCATAGTATTAAAATACAGAAAACTTTGCGGAAAAAAAATAAAGGAAGTCAAGGATGGGGGGAAAATGCGTTCGCCTCACATGACCACGATGAGCTGTTCTTGCTCTGGTTCTAATTTGAGCGACTCTCTGGATTTTGAGGAAGGCCCACTTTTACACATTCACTCATGAAAAGGGAGTGCACACAAATCCGGCCACGTCACCAGCTGCTGCGCGCGAAGGCAGCTTGGCGGCGTCGGTGCTGGTTCCGCAGGGCGCTCCGCGAGGAGAACCGGGACACAGGAAAGGGGTCGGGGAAGCAAAGAGGGAACAAGAAAGGTGGAAGCGATGTCCCCAAAGCAGGTTCCGTTTCCTCCTAAACTTTTTGGCCTTCAGACAAATCCTAAAAGCCCCTCGTCGCAGCATACAAAGTTGTGGGTAAATCCAGCGCGGTGGGGGGCGCACGGCCTTACCTGTGCCATGGCGACGAGTCAGGCCAGGGGAAGGTGAAGCAGGACTGCAAAACAGAAGAGACCTCGAGCTTAGCGCGCCACTCGCAACTTGCGCCCTCCCCAAGCGCAGGTCCGCGGGGAGGCGCTAAGACAGCCCGGAGGGCCCCGCCACGGGGCCGACCCGCCGTCTCGCAGCTACCAGTACAGCTCTCGGCCGAACGTCCGCGCGAACCCAGTGCCCTGCGACCCCGCTCCCTTCTCCAGAGGGAGCCCCCTCCCCGTGCTGCGGCCACTCACCCAGACTGTGGGACCCAAGTGCCCCGAACCACCGGGAAAGCGGCGGAGCGCCAGGCGACGGTACGCGGGGCAACGCCGGGATGAGGACGCCGAAGGATCGGGCAGCTGCACCCAGACTGATCCAAGCAACGGAAACGCCAGCGGCCCCGCCCCGGCCCTGCCCCGCTTGGCCCGGCCCACCCCCGCCAGGGACTCAACCGCAGGCAGGCCGCGCCAGCCCGGCCCGCCCCTGCCACGGCCTCAGCGCGCCTGCGTGGATCGCGGGTAGTCCCAGTCGGTGGCCAGCGGCGTGGACTGTCCCGCGGCTCTCGCGGGCCTGGGTGGGGCGCGGCCGCAGCGCTGCTGGAACCAAGAAGGGGCGGCCGCTCTCCCGAGGGCCCCAGGGACAGTCTTGTCTTCGCCCCGAGGGAAGGGCATGGGGAGCTGTCCAGGACTCGGGGTTTTGGAGGTGCTTGAGCCTCCCTGCCTTCTGTGACCGTAGGAATCGTAGCCTCACTTGGGTGCTCGACAGAGCAGTGCGTGGGCGTCTTTTTGGAGGCGAGACAAAATCATCGCAGCTAAGGGCAGCGCGCCTTTGTCAATGGGATAGAAAAAACCTGAAGGGAGGGCCGTTTCCCCAGTTGATTTTGTTTCTGTTTTGTTTTGTTGTTTTTGTTTTGTTATGTTTTGTTTTGTTTTGTTTTTTGAGACAGAGCCTCACTCTGTCGCCAGGCGGGAGTGCAGTGGCGCGATCTCGGCTCACTGCAACCTCTGCCTCCCGGGTTCAAGTAATTCTTGTGCCTCAGCCTCCTGAGTAGCTGGGATTACAGGCGGCCGCCACCACGCGCAGCTAATTTTTGTATTTTTAGTAGAAACGAGGTTTCACCATGTTGGTCAGGCTGGTCTGGAACCCCTGACATTGTGATCCACCCGCCTCGGCCTCCCAAAGTGCTGGGATTACAGGCGTGAGCCATCGCGCCCGGCCTGTTTTGTTGTTGTTGTTACTGTTGTTGTTGTTTTGTTGTTTTTAATGCATATGATTGCTTCCTAGATGGCCCTCTCTTAAATGTACAGCCTTCTAGTAGCATATGTGGGGTATTTCAAAGCCTCTGCTTCAAATCAGTTTCTGTTTTCAAAACTAGCCTAGAACTTTAATATGACTTAAATTTAAGCCATGCCTCATATTGGTTCAACATAAAATATATGAGCATATGAGAGAGACGGGGAGGGAGGGAGAATCTACAGCGTATTGTACTAGCATGGTGCTGTGTTCTGTGAAAGGGCTTTATATGCAAAGGAGCCCCCAAATGCGAAGAAGCCAAGAAACCAAAGAACAAGGCAGACAAATCCAGTCTGTCGGTAATAGGTGTGTTATTGGAGGATATCATAGACAGAAGCGTGACCTTGGGCGGCAGCAAGCAGATAAATTTCTGCACTGTTACTCCCCCAACCCTGGCCTTATATATCGTAAAGAGAGAGTATACTGCTCTGCAAGACAATTAAAGGCAGCCCTCCAGATCAGGTGAGAATGCCTTATGCGTCATAGCCTACAATGTGGGCAATAGCATCAAGGTTGACATGTTCTTATGCTAAGGACAGTAAAAAAAAAAAAATCCTAGGAATCAACAGGTATTCATGGGACTGGGGTTATTAAAGGTCAACACGGCGGATTAGCATCCTGGGTATAATCACTTTTGTCTCCACATGCTGGAAAAGGAAAAGTAGAAGACACAGTGACCTTCTCAGACTTACTGCTATGGGGAGGGAAAGTGCCAGGGCAGAGGTGAAAAAAGGACAAGTTTGCGACACTAGATGCAGTGTTTTAGACATATGCTGGAATGGGAAGTGCAAAGTGCTTCTCAACGTGGAGGTTAAGGGTAAGAGATAGGGATCTAGTCTTCTTTGAGAATGAGGAAGAATAAATTAAATGGACAGCAAATGTGGTTCTTTGTATAGAACTTCTCTTTCGCTTTCACGTGTGAACCACATGCTTATTCCAGCCCTGACAGAGTCACAAAAGAGTGGTTGTTCTCTGGAAAAGGAGGCAAAATTGCAAAATTTGTGGAGCTTGCCAACTCCATCACCCCCACCCCAGTGGCAGCTTGCCTTTCCTCTGGGAGCCTCCTCTCCACCAGCCCAGCTGTCTACTCAGCCTCAGGCTGTCCCCAAGTCAGCACCTCCCCCGGGCTTTCTTTACAGGTATTAATATATCTGAAGGCAGCCCTTTTCTGAGCATCTGTCTCTATTGCTCCAGCTTTTCTACTCTCTCTCTGCCCTGCACCAAGAGCAGGACCTTTAATCTTGCCTAGAGCATTCTTTTTTCTCACCCACATCCACTTGAACTCAGTTTGCTTCTCTCACTTTCTGCTCTCAACATTAGTGGAATTAAACAGGACCCCAGAGATCCTATATTTAACAATCATTGGTTTTACAGGGACATGAGACTCGTCATGGGTTAGCGACTTGCTCTATGTCCTGCAGCTAAATACTGACAGAATCGATGAGTTATTGGACCCAGAGTCTTGATGTACTCCAGTTAGCATTTCTTTCACTTCCAGTAATATCAGTTTATTCAACTCCTACTCTGGACCAGGCACAGATCTAGGTGCTGGGGAAAACGCGGTAAGTGAAACAAAGGCCCTGCCCTCATAGGTCATACATTCTGGTGAAGGAAACAAACAATAAACAAATATCTAATATGTCCTGTGTGATGTGTAGTATAAATAAACTAAAATGCTAGGCAATGGAAATGAAGGGAACACTATTTTGCAAAGGTGATATGAAGCCATTTCTGAAAAGCCTTGGACAGAAACCTAAATTGATACAATTTAATTGTATTTGACAACTATACACTGAGCACCTGTGGAAAGGCCATACCTAAGAGTTTACACCTTAATATTATAGATAAAGCATGTATACAAACACTACAATGAGAGACTGTAAATCATGAAAGAAATGCATAGAATGCAATCAAAATGCAATTAGTTTCAGAGGAAAGAGCTAATATTTTGTCAAATGGTTGACATGGCATTTTAATTAGGCTTTTGAGAGAGGATATTTTATCATACTATGAAGGGGAGAAAGGGTAGTCTGGTTAAGTGAACTGCAAAACCAAAAGAAGGAAAGTATCTCTTTGTGACTGTGTGATTTTGAACTGTCTAAAATGGCTGGAGTGGAAGGTACATAAAGAGAGATTGCCACATAAAGATTCTGCTTTGAATCATGTATTTAATTGATGGATTTTGAACAACTGATGTTCTTAACTACTGAGTGATAGAAATGATAGGCACTCAGGAAATCTCTTTCACTACCTCTTGTCAGCCTAATAAACAGAGAGGGAGACTTTCTAAAACAAAATGATATTTATTTGGGAATGGGCATTGCAATAGGAATGTGTGTGCCATATTAAACTATTTTGTGTATTCAGGGAGGTAAAAGAAGACAAAGGTTTTTCAAGGAAGAAGGAGGATTACATCATTGTTTTGAGATAATTATCCTCGGCTACAGTAATCAATAACTAGAGTGGCACCAGTCTAATGTTGTACAGGCAGTTGCTGGGCAGATGTCTCTGCAGAAGTTCTGTGTGTGTGTGTGTGTGTGTGTGTGTGTGTGTGTGTGTGTGTGTGTGTGTGTGTGTGTGGTTGCAATGGCCTTTGTCCAAAGTTATGCTTTTTGCAGTATTTTCCAATAGTTCTTGTTATCAGGCATTTATGTATTAGAACCCTACCTTCATGGCCTTCCCCAGCCATTTGTCAGGAGTTTGTCTTGTTTTTTTAACACAGGCGACTCCATTTTAATAAGGACAGCTTTCACAATCTTAAAAACAAGTGTCCGTCATTCATCCCCCAGTGTCCTTTATCAGTGTCCAAATGTCATGTTTAGAATCTCTGCCAGATTCACCAGTTAACTCTTTCATCTTTCTAATTGAACTTTCTCTTCTTATACATTTAAAATTAAAGTCCTTCTTTCTCAGTGTATTGTCTTTGTGTTGTGTTCATTATAAGTACTACATAATAATTTTGGCGAGTTTGTTGTACTAGTCTTGGATATAAATAATGAGTTTCAGCTGTTTTCTATGAGACACTCAGGTCACATCAGTTTTCTTTTTATTAGAGAAATATACCAAATGCCAGAGAACTGATTTACAAACACACTCTTGAAACTCTATTTATTTGTTAACTCAGGACTTTCCCTATTTCTCTCAATTATTTGGATCATTCAGAACTAGCCAATTTATTCTAAGTAAGTTGCTGAGCTTCTTTGTGTTTTAGTTTCTACATCTCTCAACTCTAATATTTTGATCATATATTCATGGCCCTACTGTTTCCCTTGATTATACTGACACATAAAGAGGAGAAAATGAGTTACAGGCTTTTTATAAATAAGTACAAAACAACTCTTCTTTAATTTTAGAAGAGTTGGAATCTTGTGTTTTAGAAAATTATAAAATTTTCAACCAGTCTACTTTAAAAACCGATTTTGTTTAATAAATATATCTGTTGCAAATTATGGCAAGTTAAAGAAGAAAAGATGGCAGGAGAATGAATTGCATGAAGCAGAAGAAACGAGAGAGAGTGGCTGAGGAGTAAGGTAGGAGCGAGATACCAAGGGAAAGGAGAAACATCATGTCTTCCAGACAAGATCTGGAAAAAGCACACTCTCTGAAGACAGAGACAGTTGAGTTCAAATCCCTACTCTGCCTGCATACCAGCGATGTGACTTGGACAAATTATGTGATTTCTCTGATCCTTGGCTTCCTTATCTAGAGTGGAGGCTAGTTTCAAATAAGCTAATTGTGAAACGGCCTAACAAACTGTGAAAAAGGGTTGGTTCCATTCCCCCACGGCTCTTTTTTCTTTCAGAAACCCTCACCATCATTCTCAGCTCCTATTCTGATGATTAAGGACCCACCTTCATATTAAAAGCAGAAATAACCTCCTCTGGACCCACTGCTCCACTGCATCAGGACTATCCTATTGCCAGCCAGTGTCTCAGAGATGGCAGGTCCAACTCTTGGGAGCCAACCTGATGCTTCCTGGTGCCATTCCCCCTCTGCCCACCTATTCTTCCTTATCCAGAGTCTACCATCAGTGGCCCCTATCAACATACAACTAGCTAGACCCCCACCCTCTACCCTTCTCTCCACATGCAGGGGCTCTGATCCCCATCTGCTGGTGCCAAGAACTGTAAAACCATCACCTGGAATTTAACGCAAGCCACCTATCTGGCCTCAACTCATTCATGTCTTAAAGTCCCGGGGTGAGAAT